CTGGGCTAGGGTTGTGGGTGCGTGGGAGGGAGCAGCATCTGGGATGTGGCCAGGGCTGGGGCTGGGATTGGGATCACACTAATGACAGTACAGGGCTAGGGGTAGAGCCACGATCCACTCCCCTCACACCCCTGCGACAGGTGCCAATTCCACAGGCAGGGGCATGCGGGGAGCAGATTGCAGCTATGCTCCATCCTTGTGCTGTCATTGCTCAGTGATCTTGGGGGCTCCGTGGAGATCAGCTGGGACCTGCATGGGCAGGGCTTGTGCCTAGGAGGACTGGATGGGGCTGCGGGTGGGGAGCTGCCTCTGGGAGCGGGACAGGTAGGGGTTGAAGCCAGTGCTGAGATTTTGGGCCAGTGACAGTATAGGCCCAGGGCCCTATACTAGGCCCAGGGCAGAGTCACAATCTGCTGCCCTCGCGTCTCTGCCTGCAGAATGAGCAGCCGTCGCAGGAATGTGCAGGCAGCAGATCGTGGCTCTCCCAGCCACAACTCCCCAGCCCCCCGCAGCCCCATTCCAGCTGCCCAGCTGTGTGCCCTGCCCACATGGGTCCAGCACTTCCCACTGCTCCTGGGCAGTGGGGCTGGATACAAAAGCAACAGCCAGAAGCAGGCACTGCTGGGGCTGCCAGGAAACAGTCTGGCTGCCTCGCTGCCCCAGCCCAGCTGCATGCCTGGGAGCGGTGGGAACTGTTGCATGTACCACATGGCCAGGCAGACCTAAGGGACCCACTGCAGGCCAGATCTGGCCCTTGGGCCGTTTTTGCCCCCCCCCCCCGATTTACCTGTGGGGAGCTGCGGGAACAGCAACGCATGGGAGGCCTGCAGGCAGGAGTAGAGTGTGGTGCCATGGCAGGTGCCATTGAATGAAAAGTTGCACATGAAAAGCTCGCTGGGTTGTTGCACTGACAGCATTGTGTAGCCTACTGCCTGCTCCTCCAGCTTGTGCAGCAGTGGGCTCAGCTAGCAGAAGCCCAGTGTGAAGAGCCCAGGCCCCCTGCCTGGAACCACCCAGTGCCTGAGCGCTGCTCTCCTGTCTCCTCATCCCTCAGGCACAGCCCCCCAGGGGGGCTTCAGATCCCCAGCTGAGAACTGCTGCTCTAGATCCAAAACAAAAATATTATCTAGAAAAAGGTAGCAAACTTCTGCATTCACCATTTAAGTTACAGCATTCTACTAGACAGGTTCTTTGCTGTAGCATTGATCATAGGGATTATAGGTGTTACCAGCCCCTATGCTTTGCGGGTTGTGAAGTGTGGGTAGGAGAGCAGCTGGAGCACAACAATTACATCACTGAGCAGCAAATGGAGAAACCAGTCCAATTAAGAGAGCAGATTCTCCTCTAGTGATCTATTTGGGGTTCTCAGTGACTTTGAGTAGCACAGGTCTGCTTAAATGTATAAACATTTCTATTCGTTGTATAAATCCCTTTTAACTGTATCTTTTTTCTTTATGACATGGATTTGGAAGGTTTGTAATCAGAATGGAATCCACATAGCCATTCAGCACAGAATAGTTGATGGAAGGGGAATTAGTACAGTGAACATTGCCTGCAAGTGCCAGGTATTTCCTGTGCTCCCTTGCTAGGTCTTTGATTACCACTCCATCCATACATCTCCTTTAACAGGTGGCACTCTCTCTCTTGTCCCCCCACAACAGAGTGACTAAAGAAGTAGATGCTGCCTCAAAAGAAGCCAAATCCTTTCTGAAACAGCAAGAGAGAGAGAAAATTCAGACAGCAACTCCAGCTTCTCTTCCTACAGTCTCTGGGTGAGTACATGCATTGCCACCCTCTCCCTCCCCACAAGGTGCTATAGTTTTGTGTGTAGGGAGTCTCACTTGGTAAGTAGAAGTCAGTTCTGCACCATCTGAGGCAGTGTAAGTTTTTTGCCTTGATTTCAGTGGGAACAGAATTGAGATGTAAAGGCCTGATTCTCTGAGGTGCCTAGGCCAGGGGCGGGCAATTATTTTGGTTGGAGAGCTGCTTCGTGAATTTTGGTGAGCTGTCGAGGGCTGCATGGGTAGCTCTGCCCCTTGACAGTTGCCCTGCCCCCTGGTTGCCATCTTGTGTCCAGAAGTCCTGCCTCCTAACCCCTCCCTGCCCTTTGCCACCAGAAGTCCCTCCCCTTACCCCTAGAAGTATGCCTTTTGGGAGGGGGTGGTGTGGCTTTGGAACTGAAAGTTACACCCTGTCACATGGTCTGTCAGGGACAGGCAATGTTTTTTGGCCAGTGCCGAAAAAACCACAATGTCTACCTTGTATGGTACTGGAGTGCTGGCATGCCAAAAAAAAGCAAAACGGGGTGGGGTAGGTATATGTCAGAATGCACTGCATTATTAATATAGCTGATTATAAACATTTATTTTTGTGGTAAATATCAGGTTTTCTAAAAATTCTAAGCCTGGTGACAATAAATAAAACTTAGAGGGGGAGAGGCAGGCACAGGGAGAAGCACTGCGGGTAGGTTGGCCTGGCCTGGCCTGGCCAGGCCAGGCCCGGCCTTTGGGAAGGTGGCAGCTTGAGGAGAGGCAGGGCTAGGAGGGGAGCGGAGGCTGCCCCAGAGCTCCACAGTCTCAGGCCGTAGCTGGGCCCTCAGTGGCACGCAAGGTGGAGCCTGGCCCACACAGCTCCATGGGATGGGGGGCAACTGGCCTGCCCACAAGAGGGTGCTGCCTGGTGAGGGCAGGACACCAGGCTTGGGGGGGCTTCCAGCTCAGCCTCTGTGCCCACTGGGCACAGTGCAAGTGGGGCGGAGTCCCCCAAGGCATGGCAGGAGCCTCTGGGACTCTGGGAACAGCTGGCCCATCCAGTCCCAAGGGTCACATGGCTCAGCCCCCACTTCTCCTTGCCAGTGCCGACTTGGCTGGACCTGTTGCATTCCAAGCAGCATCCAAGGAAGCAGTAGCTGGACCAGCTTTGCTGTATGCTGCTTGGGACGGGATGGGCCCAGCCGGGTCAGCACTGGCAAAGAGACATGTCGGTTGAGCCATGTGTCACTTCCTCGTGTGCTGCTCAGCACAAACTCAGCCATGGCTTTGCCTCTCTGGTGCCAGCCCAGCTGGGCCCAGCCCGGTCTGTTCTGAGCAGTTGCAGGGAAGCTGCATGTGGTCCAGCTGGCTCAGCCACCACTTCTTGCTGGTGCTGACCCGGTCAGGCCTGTCCCATCCTGAGTGGCATGCAGCAAAGCCGTCCCAGATGCTGCTTCCCTGCGTGCTGCTCAGAATGCGATGGGCCTGGCCAAGTCAGCATGGGCAAGGAGAAGTGGTGGCTGAGCCACGTGCCACATGGGAGTGGCTGGGACAGGCTGGCAGAGGTAAGTGGAAGCCTCAGCTTTGCCTCATGCCTCTCAGGCCGGCACCAGGGAAGCTGTAGCTTAGTTGGTCCCGAGTGGCATGTGGCTCAGCCACCACTTCTCTTCGCTGGTGCCAACCTGTCCAGGCCCATAACAACCTGAGTGGCCCACAGCAAAGCTGGCCCAGCCACTGCTTCCCCATGTGCCACTCAGGACGAACTGTGCCCAGCCGGGAGGGCACCGGTGAGAAGTGGCAGCTGAACCATGCCTCCTGGGACCGGCCAGTGGAGGTAAGGGAAGGCATGGCTGAACTGTGTACCGCTCTGGTCAGGCCAGGCTGATCCTCAGCAGCGCTCAGCTGGCTGAGCCGCCGCCTCTTGCCGCTGCCAACCCAGCTGGGCCTGTCCCATCCTGAGCAGCATGCAGGAAAGCTGGGCCAGCCACTGCTTCGCCGTGTGCCACTTGGGACAAGATGGGCCCGGCTGGGTCGGCACCAGTGAGGAGAAGCAGCTGAGTGGCATGTGCTCCTGCAGCCCCTGCCCCCCACCCCACCCCACCCCACACTGCTCCCTGTGGCCCCTGCTGCTCCTCATGTCATGTCGTGTCTCCCC